TTGGCTGGTCTTCAGGAAATTTCTCTAGAACAGATGCTAATATTTTAGCAGGCTTCACTTGAGCATCACTCATTTCTTTGACAACTAGTTTTGCAGCAAGACTTAGGCCGCTTCATTGTCGATGACCCACTTCATATACTATCATCGCATGAGTGTGATACCCCCATTTAGAGTAACCCTTCACTTCCCAACCATCACGACTTTGGTGTTGTCGAACCTTTACTCTGAACTCACACCTACAACCTTTCCGCTTTGTATCAAACTGAATCACTGTACTGAAGTCTCGTTCCTCCCTTTTGCGATAACGGTCGCATCTCAAAATGCGATCCATTCTACCATCCCGTTGAGATTTATAAGTTGCTACTACTAAACAAAAACCAGATTTAATTGCAACCCGTTTTGCCCAATCAATCGCTTGTTGAGCATCTTCGAAGGGACCATCATGTACAAAAATCCCACTATAATCATTTCCGTTTACACCATAATCCTACAACAATGACATATTATTTTTAAATACATATAATTATGTAAAGATTAAATTAATACATTTAACACAATATTAACACATAAGTAATTTCTAAATTTTTTATTTGTAAATTTCATTTCTATATTTAACGCATAATACATTTAATTTCTAAATTTACACATAATTAACACAAAATTAACACATAATTATGTATAAAAGTATTCATACACATACCAAATTAAAACATAATTTTATTTTTTTTTGAAATTATTAACATATATTTAATTTACACATACAAAATTAAAACATAATTTTATTAACACATATTTAAAACATAATTTCAAATTAAAACATATTTTTTTTTTTGAAATTATTAACACATATTTAAAACATAAATTTACACATACAAAATTAAAACATTATTTTATTTTATTTTTTTTGAAATTATTAACACATATTTAATTTCAAATTTATCAAACTTAAAAAACACAAAAAAAAAAAAAAAAAAAAACCAACAAAAACTTTAAATAATTTTTTTCAAAAAAATTACGAAATGTGGCGGTGTTGTCTGGCCAGGACGCCGCTACCGTGGCTGTGGCACCTGGTTGGGACGCCGCCACCATGGTAGTGGCGTCCCTGTGGCGTTCCAGCCAGATGCCACTACCATGGTGGCGGCGTCCCGGCCATACGCCGGCCAGCATTTCGTAATTTTTTACCGCATAGTACCTCGCTTTCCGACGACGATGACGACTCTCCAGTGTCCCTTGGCGATCCAGTCCCACTCCACATTTTTCATGAGAGAGAATTACGTTTTGGGTAAAAATTAGAAAAAAGGCAAAAGCGTCAAAGTAAAAATAATTGTGGCTTTATGTAGAGATTTGTAGGCGATGTTTAACAAATCCCTATATAATTATAACAAACTATCCAATGTTAACCTCTTTTTTTTTTTTTTTTTTTTTTTTTTTTTTTTTTTTTTTAATCAAATGACATATTTTGATTTGATGCATGGAAACAATGAGGCCAACTTTATGGGAAAGGTTTGCTCATGATTAAGTTCATTTCTTATTCTATGAGCTTAATCAGGATCATGTGTTGGGTGCATCCATGATATCAATTGGCTCCTATTACGATAACATTATTTTTTTAATTAAATTAGATAAACATAGAAAGACTATAGTGTCATTTACTTTATTATCATTACTTTGAATACTTTTACAGGCCTTCCAAAATAGGTGCATATCTTTCTATTGTTGGACGACTAGACTCTTTATTGATCCTGATATTGATGAAAATGATGATCTACATGGATGGTAAGCCTAAAAACATCATAATGTTGCATATACTTATGTATTTTATATAACTCATATAGGTATGCGGATGATGGATATGTCAAAAAACATATCAGCTGGAGTCAGATATTAGCCAATGGTATCTTTCAAACAAAAATGGTGTTTAATGCTAAAAGGATCAAGTTAAATCAGTTTTTAGCTTTGCATAATGTATGATGTATATCGACCATAATTCATTTGATATTATTTTATACATGAAGTATTATATATTTGATGTGTTTTTTTAGGTAAAATAAATTCGAGTACTACCAAAAGTGTTATCCATTGATTCTTCTATGCATGTTTGGTATGAATCATGCACTCGGTACTCAAAGAGAGCTGATTTGTACATGGAATGTGACCCTCCTTGAGTAGGTTAAGGTATTTTTACTTTTTTATTTTTCAAAAAAAAAAATTAACCTACTTTACACATCATTATACTTAACTATATCATATTAATAATAACAAATTTAAAATCAATGTAAAAATTGGTGACGCTACAAATACATTGTTTAGTATACTTTTTGGCCAATATGCTGAAATGATTATCGGTTGTCTAATATCAAGTATTCAAGCTATGACAAATAATGTAACTATACCCTTTATTCTTATATTAAAGAAATACACACATGCATAATGACTAAATATGTTATGTATGACCAGGAATTTGGAGACTACTTTTTAAACGAGTATTTAATTGAGTGAACGTTTGATGAATACATTCCCTTTAATTTTATACAACAGATTCCCGAGATAGAATGATATCATATATAGTTGCATTTGTTACAACTAGGATGGGAGGAAGAATTCTATTACTTGAAGCGACAGATGCGCAAATAATCAAATTAAAGATTTAGATTTATTCAACATAATAGTTCAACACTTTTTTTAAGGGAATCAAGGCTTAGGTTTTTATTTGTAAATCATATTTTATTTTATTTTAGTTACTATTTTTTTGTTTTATTAAAGGCTATCTACGTATATATACTTTGTATTTTTTTTTTAATCCTATCCTTAATTATACCCCGGCACATTCTAGTATGTAATAATATAGTTACCTAGTAAAAATAAAACCCTAAAATCATAAAAATATTATTTACAGTTTCAACATATCATAATCATAAAACTAGTAATAAGATTAGTGAACACATTCAAAACCCTTAAAAATATTAACCTACTTTTAAATCCTATATTATAAACAATGAATTCTAAAAATTTAAACCATATATTACAATTAATAATCTTGATTATTTCACTTGGTTTTATAAAATTTAAACATGCTTAACATCATTGAAATCTATAACATAATTAAAAACAAACAAAACTTTAAACCTTAATTTGAAACATGGAGTAATAAGAAGGAACAAAGGAGGAAGGAGGAGACGTACCGATGTGGCTTCCCAGCGGTACAGACAACTGGTACGGCCGTCGAGCTTCTTAGTCGTGCGTGAGAGAGTTGCTTCAGTTTTATTATTTTTTGTGTTGTTGATGTGTAATGCGTAGAATAGGAGTAGTAGTAACTAGTAAGAGGGTTTTTAAGTTTTATAAAGATAAAGATGGGCTTTTAGTTAATCAATTCCCCTAATCTAAGATGGGCTTTTAGTTAATCAATTCTCTAATCTAAGATCGGGTCTTGGTACCTTTTGGGCTTAGCTACGAATATTTTTATTTTTTCTCTGGGCTAAGTAGGAAAAATATTTTTAAAACTTGGGTTTATTTAAAAACTTGCTTTTATTTATAATAATAAAAAAAAAAAAAGACGACTTGCTTCAAATTATTTTCGTAAAATATTATGCATTAAAACGATAATCAAATAATTATTGACCTTATAGTCAAGATTACATAATTAAATCTCATCAAAGTTATTTTATAAAATTTCAAGGAGGTTTTGGGGTGGGGGGCTCGCTTTTCTAGCAGGGAAAGGGAGGGATTGGGGTGGGATTTGAGTTTTCTAGTGTGGGGAAGTATGATTAACAGCTTGACACGTCGAAAGAAACATGGAATTATAGGTTGTTGACTTTTTTTATTGACCGACTAGATTGTGACGGTTAAAGAAAACATACCTCAAATTTGGGATTATTTAAAGAAAATCAGTCAAAAGTGAGATTATTTAGACCAATTTTTTCTTTTAAATATCAAACAAATTATTATTCATCATGGAGGGAACCCAGGTTTCTAACAATGATAAATATTTCTTGTTTATCAAATGGCACTTTAATATATATTTTGCCTTGAATAATGTGCTGTAAATTATAATAATGTTTCTCTAATTTCACCAGTTATCATTTACTATTACTTTTAACGTCCGTTAACTCCCTTGTATAGCTTCTCCCTTCAAACAGAAGAGAGAGAAAGAGAAGACTCACCTTTCCCTTTAAACAATGGAGGACGAATCAAAAACAGGGATCCTTTTCAACCACCACCCTCCATTAACTCCACTTCACAAGAATTCTCTCTCATTAACTTCCACCATTAGACCCACTCGATACTCAAACAACGAGATGGTAGTCTCAATACTCTCAAACACTACCATTACAAACGAAATCCTTAAGAAAAAAGAGAAATCAAGGGTATGGTTAACCTTAGAGGATATGTGTTTCACTCTCCCACTGTTTTCTCCATTGTAGATGAGCTTTTCCTTCCTTTTCATTGAAGCCGAGCTTGGCAAAAAGTTTAATGGATTTTCTCTATCTCTTCTTAATCCGATTTCAACAAAGTAAACAGTGTATACTTTTTCTATTTTGTAAATTTACAAAAATGCCCCTTACAGCTCAACTCAAAGTACTATGCTACACCTAGATAAACATACCATGTTTATCAATAAACATACCATGTTTATCAACGTTAGAAACATGGATTTTCTTAAATCAGTCATGTTGTTAAATTTTCCTCACTAAACATTAAAATTAAGGAAAATAAAACATGGGGAATCGTCATGAAAAATCACTAGTTATCGATTTAAAATATACATTAACAAATATGTTTAAGGAAAAGGAGAACAACTCTATAGACCACGGATAATACAGAGTATTATTTATAATATACTTTGTACAATACTACATGGAGTATTTTTTATACTACATGATTAATCAAACCATATATTTGCATAGATTTGCAAATAATTTCTTGGATTTTCAAACGAGATACAGTAATATGGATTCGAATCAAATATTTAAGACATGACAAAAATATTTCTATCCCCAAAGGCTTTTTTTTATCATTATTTTTTTCTTTAGACAAATTCCCAATGCAATGCTACTTTAGTTCATTTCCATGGCTGAAAACAAAAGTTGAGCGCCTCCACTCGTTACAAAAATAAACCCTATTAACAAAACCAGATCACAATCATCACCCCTTCTCTTCTTCAATTTCTCTCTCTTCAACCTTCAATGCCTTCAACAATGGCGGCTACTTCCACAAACCCTTCATTCTCCCCTTTCCCAACCCTCTCTTCCAAAACCCCTAAACCCCAATCCTCTATTTACGCCCTCCCTTTTCCCTCTAACCCCAAAACGCCATCCTCCTTCCTCCGCCGCCCTCTCCAAATCTCCGCCTCTCAATCCGCTAACCCAAAACCGCCATCCGCTACCCAAACCGCTGTTCCATCACCTCTCACCGATGAAAACCCCCAATCCTTCGTTTCCCGATTTGCCCCTGATGAACCCAGAAAAGGCTGTGATGTCCTTGTTGAAGCGTTGGAGCGTGAAGGTGTTACCAATGTGTTTGCTTATCCTGGTGGTGCATCGATGGAGATCCATCAAGCTCTCACGCGCTCTAGTTCTATCCGGAACGTCCTTCCCCGGCACGAGCAAGGTGGGGTTTTCGCCGCCGAAGGCTATGCTCGAGCTACTGGGCGCGTGGGTGTGTGCATTGCGACCTCTGGACCTGGTGCTACTAATCTTGTATCGGGGCTCGCCGATGCGCTGCTTGATTCTGTTCCTCTGGTTGCGATCACTGGTCAGGTTCCTCGCCGAATGATTGGGACGGATGCTTTTCAGGAGACTCCTATTGTTGAGGTTACTCGTTCTATCACTAAGCATAATTATTTGGTTTTAGATGTTGAGGATATTCCTAGAGTTGTTAAGGAAGCGTTTTATTTAGCTAATTCTGGTAGGCCTGGACCTGTTTTGATTGATATTCCTAAAGATATTCAGCAACAATTGCTTGTGCCTAATTGGGATCAGCCTATTAAGCTAGGTGGGTATGTTTCTAGGCTGCCAAAATCGAAATTTTCGGCGAATGAGGAGGGACTTCTTGAGCAGATTGTGAGGTTGATGAGTGAGGCTAAGAAGCCTGTGTTGTATGTGGGAGGTGGGTGTTTGAATTCTGGTGAGGAATTGAGGAAATTCGTCGAATTGACAGGGATTCCGGTGGCTAGTACTTTGATGGGATTAGGAGCTTACCCTTGTAATGATGAATTGTCCCTTCATATGTTGGGAATGCACGGGACAGTGTACGCAAATTATGCTGTTGATAAGGCGGATTTGCTGCTTGCTTTCGGGGTTAGGTTTGATGATCGTGTCACAGGGAAGCTCGAGGCGTTTGCTAGTCGAGCTAAGATTGTGCACATTGATATTGATTCTGCTGAGATTGGGAAGAATAAGCAGCCTCATGTGTCGATTTGTGCTGATGTTAAACTGGCGTTGAAGGGTATGAATAAGATCCTGGAGTTTCGAAAAGGGAAGTTGAATTTAGATTACTCTAGTTGGAGGGAGGAGTTGGATGAGCAGAAGAAGAAATTTCCATTGAGTTTTAAGACGTTTGGGGAGGCTATTCCTCCACAGTATGCCATTCAGATGCTCGATGAGCTAACCGATGGTAATGCTGTTATAAGTACTGGTGTTGGGCAACATCAAATGTGGGCTGCCCAGCATTACAAGTATCGAAACCCTCGACAATGGTTGACCTCAGGTGGTTTAGGAGCCATGGGGTTTGGGCTACCAGCTGCTATTGGAGCAGCTGTGGCTCGACCAGAGTCTGTGGTTGTCGATATTGATGGGGATGGGAGTTTCATCATGAATGTGCAAGAATTAGCTACCATTAGGGTGGAAAATCTACCAGTTAAGATAATGCTCTTAAACAATCAACATTTAGGTATGGTGGTTCAATGGGAAGACAGATTCTACAAAGCCAATAGAGCACATACATACCTTGGAAACCCTTCCAAAGCTGCTGAAATCTTCCCCGATATGCTCAAATTCGCTGAAGCCTGTGATATTCCTGCTGCCCGTGTTACCAAGGTGAGCGAGTTGAGGGCCGCCATGCAGAAAATGTTGGATACTCCGGGGCCATACCTGCTGGATGTGATTGTACCTCATCAAGAACATGTGCTGCCTATGATCCCTAGTGGTGCCGCCTTCAAGGATACCATTACCGAGGGTGATGGAAGAACATCTTATTGATCGCATTATCGATGATGATGCTTAATCTGTATGTATAATAATATGTTTAGAGAGATTATGACTGTTTTTGCTTTAGGTTAGTTTGTTGTTGGCATGCTGCTTGCTACTACTATGATAAACTTTTTTGTTGTTTTTGAGGTATTACTATGGATGATCATCTTAAATTGCTCAATGATTTCACAAAAGTGGTCTTTGAGCTATGTATGTTATCTTGCGAAATAGACTTCGTTCTTTTTTGTTAGTACAAGATGATGTTGACAATCAGTTGGCTTTGAGAAGTTATGTTTCACGCAAAATGATGTTTTACATCTTTCTCATTAATTGATTGAGAAACTGTTCTATTTCGAAACCGTGAACTAATAGTATGTTATGATTGTTGGAGATTAACGTAAAAGGACAGCATAATACCATTTGGGATAGGTGTGTAATACCAAGTTATCATGGTATATATAAGGGTTGAGAAAACATAACAATCTGCTTAAAATTTAGTAGGGTCTTTATTAACATAAATACATAATGTATTCACTTCTGGTAATTGTTTGACACAATCAATCGAAGCACAGTTAGAGTGTTTTGCCCTGTTTGGCTGTGTATAAGTTTATCACTTGTTTATATCACTGCACTAATGCGGGAATTTGTAATCTATACGAACAACTGCAGCAATATGTAAAAATAGCTCTTTTAAGGATATGGTAAACATTTTATGTTTATAAGTAAAAAAATCCATAGTTTCTTATATTCTCCATCAAACCAAATAGAGCCTTAAACAACCTAAAGTGAGCTTTTAAGTCTGCCAGAAACCTTCATTGTCAAACAATCTAGCAACAACCGTCTGATGTCAAAGTGATACCAAACCACTCAAGTATCTTATTTCCTAAGTTGAATACAAGTTTGTTTTAATGTAGCGGTTAAATCCCACAAATATGGCAACGCCTTCAGCAAATTAGGTGGAAAGCAAGAAGCATAACAGAAAAAGAACCCTTGGAATGGAAGCCAACTTATGTTCATTTGGTCAAAAAAATAACCCAAGCCTCACCATCAACATAACTACCCATCAGTTTTGAAAGCTTCATAAGTTCCACATCATGAAAATATGATGCTATATCGCATTTCGTTAATAGTAGAATACATCACAAGAAAATAATGCCTCCAGAGACTTCACCTGCTTGCCACACTCCCCAGATCTGTCCCCCAGCCTTGCCCAGATCAACAGTAAATTCCTCGGATACCAACAAACGTAGGCAGCTGAAAAGAATGGAAATTAATCTCACGAGTAAGAGATTAATCCATATACTTGTTTTTTTCCTTGCTTCCATGTCTATCTTCAGGCTTCTAAGGTTTGCTATCACCTCTTATTCTCCATCACCACGCTCTGGGTGGGCAGGTTTTGTAAAGACTTGCAATTCATCAGAATCAAGCTGCAAGGAAGTTCCATCCCATACAAGGGCTTCCACTTTTCCTCCAAATAGAAACCAGATCACAAAAAAGGAATATCGATTTCTATCGCATATCATCACTCAGAGGGCACCCTGCAACCTTCTAATCTTTGGATGGGAACCCCAATACCATCGCCTGGCAAAGATTAATTCTGCAGGAACCACTGTTATTCTGGATGACACCCCTGAAAAAATAAGAGTTAGAAGGTTGAACAGCACCAGGATTTACAAGGTCAATTATGACGTGAAGGCCAAAGATGCATACAGATTGCTAAAACATGCAAGAGACGGAACTACTTGTGCACCTAATTCAGGACCTATAGCAACATCAAACTGCAAATTGGCACTAACAAACTTGCCAAATGAGGTCTATACAAGCAAATGGGATGTGATACTTATTGATGGACCAGGTAGTGATGGACCAGAAGCACCCGGAAGGATGACGGCTATCTACACATCAAGTATGATAGCAAGAGCTGGGAATATCACAACAAATGTGGTATTACACGATGTAGATCGGATGATAGAAAAATGGTTTTCCAGGGAGTTCCTGTGCGAAGAAAATTTAGTTTCATCAAAAGGGAGATACTGGAATTTCAAGATTAAAGGTGGTCAGCAATGGCATTCCACCAGCTTTTGTACTTGAGGATCACAAAAAACATAAGTGGCTATTCCATCATCTTATACAGTGCAGATTTGATCATGCTGCAAATGAGTTTACATGCAGGAAAGTGCATCATATGAATTACACTTTGCAGCAAAGAAAACAATCTCTATATGGTGTTATGACATGCAAAATAGTCAACAGAAGTGCAAAAGATTTATCCATCCGTGGCACCCACCACAAGTGACTGAATGAAACCTGTATACAAGATAGGTGCATCTGAGATAGTAAATTATAAAAATTAGAGGCATGTAAGGCTATTAAATGCATGTGCAGTGTAGTATTCCACGTTTCTGTGTTGAAACACTTACAACTTTTTATACGATATATAGCAGCAAAACATTCATGAATGTACACTCCGCTTAACACAAAAAGACGCTTACATCTATCATCTAAAGAATATACTTAGAAGATTCAATAAGAACTTATGTGATAAAAAAAAATCATATCCAGTACAGATTTTTGACAGTTCAAAAAAAATCATTATACCACACATGATTCCAAATTAGTAAATGGAAACCTCTGTTAGCAGCTTCACATCACCATGAGGACAAATGGACTTTACACATTACCATGCAGCTTTAGCTTAATACACAACCCAGTAACACCATGTACCAAAATAATTGCAATCCTCAATTGTACAGTGTTCACAAACTCATTACCAGGAGTTGATCAATATTAGCATAAATCACCAGTCTTCTGAACATCTTCGGAATTGTCATTTGTACCTTGCCGCTGTTGGGAAACAAAAAAAAAAAAAAAAAAAAAAAAAAAAAAAAAAAAAAAAAAAAAAAAAAAAAGAAAGAAAAAGAAAAAAGAAAATGAAAAAATAAATAAATAAAAATAAAAAGAATGAACTCTTTGATTAAAAGCAAAAGCAGCGCCACAAATCTAATATGGCATAATTAGAACAAGATTTAACTGTGGGGTGGCAATACTAATTTCAGAGTTTTACTACAATTCCATTATAGTTTCCATTTATGCAAAATTTTATCCACCAATGTAGGGTAGGGGGTTTTGGTGTTTGGGGGAGAGGGAGAGGGAGGGAGGGGGGGGGGGGGGGCTGAGGATAGAAGCAAAAGCAAAGCAAAAGTGAGGGATTCATTATTACTTTACTGGATATGACATGGGGAAGGGGAGGAGAGGGAACTGAAAAGATTCCTTTCACTCCCTTCACCTTCTCTCTCCTCTCTTTCACCATTATGATTTCTATCTAAACACTCCTAATACGCCTGGGTAAATCAACACAGGAATATCCATTTATTACATATACACACTTTTTCAGAATTTTCTGGTTTTAAATTTCTTCCTCCAATTTTAAACAAGTGCATCACTTGCCTTATTCGGACGTTTTAAATTTCCAACTTCACCCACTAGCACACTAAAATATTCACTTTAATTTACTTGCCAAAAACTTTTTAAGAATACAAGTGATGCACTTATTTAAGAAAAGAGGGAGTATGTTACACAAAAACCAAAATTGCTCATTAAACTATCAAGTATCTGCACTTCTTATTAATACGAAGTAGATAGCTTTGCTATATTTTAGACAAAGGGTCTAATGGATATACTTCCTCCGTCTTTATTACTCGACCTGTATTACTTTTTAGGAAGTTTCTTTATATTTGATTTTGTTTCCTTTTTGGGCAAATTTTAGACTACTTTTCCTTATTTACCCTCATCTTTTCTACCTAATAACACTATACCCATATAGTATTACTCATCCCTCATCCTCTATCACCTCACACCACCATCCTTCATCACTCCTCCACTTTATCCATGACAGCCACCATCTTCACCACCATCACCATAAAGCGTCCTCAACTACTCAATAAATTTTACCAAAATCATGGCTTGGTGGTCGAATTTAGGTGGTTCCACATCTGAAACCACCGTAGTCAAATTTGACTTCCAAGCACTCAAATTTGTAAAAACAAATGCTCACATTTAATTGTGGTTGGTGGAGGACAGTGGGTTTTTTTCTCTCCTCTGCTTATTTCAAATTGGAGGAAAATATTGATAAATGGTGTTGGTCTGAACGGTGGTGAAGGGTGCATTGATTGTGTAGGTGGCCAGTGGTGGTGGTGGTGGCGGCGATGGTGTAGTTGGACTGTGATTGTGGAGTGGCACCACCTACCAAGTACCAACTTGGTGGTAATGTTGCTGGAGGGAACAAGCTGAAGGGTCAGATAATATTGTATTTAGACTTTCTTTTCTCCTCTTCCTTGATATTTATGCCTATTTGCAATAGGTCAACTAATAAAAAATAGAGGATGTATTATTTATAAGCAAATATAATTTTGATGTTGGATAAGCTCCAGTTTTGTTGCAACAAGCACAGATAATAAGTACTCATTAGGTAGCACATATGTCAATGTAAGGTTCTATTGGAACTAGCAAAAGTAACTCATACCCCCATGACTTGATCCAACTACCCGAATTTTCCTAAACAAGATGATTTAATTTTTACCTAAACTGCAATTAATATTATATTTCCTCTTTAATTGAACCATTTTGCTTTTTGGGAAGTTGCCAATTAGTTGCATTTTTTTCCCTTACAGATATGCTTTTACAAACTATTAATTTGTGCTCACACACCAAAAACCTATTATACCCTTAAGGACATATGATAATAACCTTTTTTACCCCACTTCTTCTCTCTCTCAATTGTTTGAAGTCATGGGCATTCTAGGTATCCCCTCCTATTAATCCCTTTCTTAAAACTTGTGCCCAAAGCAAATGGTGCAATTAAAAAAAAACGAAGGAAGTATGAGCTAAAACCCATTTTTTTTAAAAAAAATAAAATAAAATAAAATAAAAATAAAAGCTAAAACCCAAAGAAATAAATATCAATAATTTTTTTAGAAGGTAAATAATAAATCAAATGAACCAAATATCAAAACTAATGCTACATCATTCAAATATGACTTCACATACTTTTTATGTGCATTTAATTCAATATTTCTAAGCAAAAATTTACTGATTCAAAAAATGATAAAAATCAGGGCAAGATCAAACCACATCTTTTTGTCTATATTTTCCAATCAATATCTTTAATTTCATAATAAAAAGGTAACAAATACTTGGACACAAAAAAATAAGATTTTAGAAACATGAATTATATGTTTGTAAGTGACATAAAGCCAAATTAATGAGATAATTCAATACTATTTCAAAAAAAATATTCCTTGCTAGCTCTAACCATTATTCTTTAAACTTGATCAGTAATAATATGAAAACATAGCATCAAGCTATTTTGTTTTTTTATACTTCTTTTCTATTTATTATTTGCAAGTCTTTCCTCCAAAGGAAATGTCAACCAATACATATTTAGTAAGTTAGATATGGCAAAATACCAATATTAACCTTACTTGAACACCCTTTATACTACCACTCTCGCCTTAACACTACCACTCTCTCTCGCCTTAACACTACCACTCTCTTTCGCCTTAATACTACAACTCTACCCCATCCCAATGCTCCCATCTCTGACCCAATAGCCATCACCACTACACCTCCTTTCTCTCTCTCCACCGCACCTCCTCTTCCTCCCCCATCCTTGGCCAAAACCTCTTCCTTCCTTTCTAACTCCATCCCAACCACCACCCCACTCAATTACCCTAATCACTATTGCAAAACACACCATTATTTAACATGATTGAAATGATTTTAAAAAAAAACCTATGAAGTTATAATTTCGAATTCAAACATATGAAAGCATGTAATAAAAGTTGCTTCAATATGTGATATTCTTTTCCCTAACATCTGTTTCTTTCTCTCGTTCATATCCATGAAAAGTTTCATAAAATGAGAAGGGTAAAAAGGATTGATGTGCAACTTTTTAAAACTGTACGTACATAATTTGATATTTAAACTGAATTTTCTTCCGGTTGTCTAGAAAAATGAAAAATATGTATATTATGCAAAAAAAATTTGCACATCGTATTTGAGTAAAAAATAAAAAATAAAAGCTGCACATTTAGTTCAAAAATATGCAAAAGGTTATCTTCCCCTCTCCAATATAACATAATAGATTTAATTAGGAGTTGCATTATTTTCCACGATAAATGAAGGGCCAAAAATGAAATGATGATTCAACTAGGGAGTCATACAATTAGTTTATCGAGACCAAAAAAAAAAATAAAAAAAAATATTTCACAATGAAAATAGGCAGCCAGTATGAAAGATATGATGGTTATGCAAAGAATTTACCATCCGTTTGCTGATATAAGGATGTAATTTGGTCTCAGACTCAACTTTACTTTCAGCTTTGGGTACATTTAGCTTTTCCTTCTTAAATCCTTTCATTGATTCTTTTCGGCTGCCTGATTGCCAAACCCCGCCGAAGTTAGGAAGCCAGTTAGCATCAGAGCTATTAGCAATTATCTCTCCTCTCTTCTCCATCTCCAGTTCTAGTTTCCTTTTTTCTGCCCATGCAGCCCCTACTCTCTTTGGGTTCAATTTGTTGGTCTTTTTACTATTCTTTTCAGTAACATTCACCTTGGGCCCTCTTGATTGCTCATGCTCATTACATGCCTCAAATCCTTCAAGCCAAGGAGGCCGCGCTCCAGAATGAACATTTTCATTCTTAACGTCCATACCTTCACAAGATATTCGACTGAGACTATGGTAACCTGTAAAGAATAAAACCAGATAATAAAATAACGAGACAAGCAGGCACTATCAACATTTGTCACAACCCCTTACAGCAAGTCTAACAGCATTTGTAGATTTAAGGTTGAAAATTTAAGTGCCCAGAAAATGGCAGTTTACCTTCAGTAAAAGGCTCTCTGCTGGCGATGCTTTGTTTCTGACAGACCTGACATGATATATAGACGCCATCACAAAAGCAATGTCATTGGCAAAATTTTGGCGCATCCATTTACAAGTAAAGAAAAAACCATGTGTCAGGCACATCAAATAGGAAACTAACATCAAGATTCGTGAAGAATACAGTAATGAAGAGGCAAAAGAGGAGAATCAAATACAGCTCCAGTGGTCAAGGACAGATCCAGGGGTGGGATACCCGGTCTGTGGCCTTCTCCATGGATAAAAAAAAGATTAAACTAATTTAGTGTCATTGTATGACACATACCAACGCTAGCTCAGTTGATGTTTTGAGCTGCTTGATAATGCAGCGTGGATTGATTGAAATGTAGCGTTCAACTCCTTCATATTTAAATGATGATCAAACAACTTTGCATATTGTTACATCATTTACATATGCTATAAGCCTATAATACTTTGACACTAAAAAGTAAGAATTGTTGTAAAATACTATTTTGAATGTCCATTATTACTTTGTAACTCTCTCAAGTCTCAACCTTTATGACTCCCTTTGTAACCCCCTATGACTTTACTTTTCTTTGTAACTCCAACAAAAATGCACTCTGCATTGTCTGTGAGTTATCAGTGTATAGAAAGGCGTGGCTAACATTGAGGCGCTAGGCGATTTGGGTAGAGCGCCTTTTTGGCTCTAGGCGAGGCGCATTCAAAGAGGTGCACCACAGGCGCACATAGGCAAATTTCTTCAATTGTTTTGTATTGTGCATCTCACTTCAACGAGGCACCCCTAAGCGCAGCAGGTTCTTCATCGCCTCATTGCACCTTGAGCTAAAGCTCGTTATAATTAATTGAATTTGAGATTGCAATACTTTAAATCTGTTAGTGAATATAAATCAATTATCTTCAGCATACCTTCTTAATTCGTGAATCACGTCTTAATAGCTTTACTCCATTCACTTCCCTAAAGCGAATGTGACATCCCATGACGAGAAAAAATCTAAAAACAAAGATCATTCCAATAGTTGTGGTCGAGGTCGAGATCACGGTCATGGCCAATGGCGTGGTCGAGGTCGTAGACGTGGATTTGGGGGATATGGTAGAGATTGTGGAAGTCATTTCACAAATTCACATTCCCACCATTAGTGGAAATGTAGAGATGATAAAGTTGTGAAAGAGAAAAGTGAAACCAATATACGATACCGTTGCGGAGAAAAAGGTTAATGGTGTCGTGTGTGCAAAATACCCTATTGAACTTTATCAAGAATTATTGAAACAAGGAAAGAAAGTTAAGGCAAACTTTGCATTTAAGGATGGTGAAGGTGATTTTGATTTTGGCAATGCAACTCATCTAGAAGTTGCTGATTTCTTCACCTCTCCCGAAGGAAATAATATTTAGATTATTATTATTTTATTTTTTTTTATTGATTTATGTATTTAATCATCGCTATTTTTATGTCTAATATTTTGACTCGTAATCTATTTCATGAAGAATATGGATACTACTCAAGTTCAACTTGTAATAAAAGGTGAAGAAATATGCTATACTAAACTTAAGACTAAGTAATATTTCTCTCATTTGATGATGAAAAAGATTAGTGTGATTACAATATCGGGTAGTACAAATATAATTTAAGGCTTCGAAAGAACCAACATAAAATTGTTTTAGGGAACAAAAATTGAAATAACTGATGCATTATACTCCTCACTGTCTATAATTATCATACTGAGACAATCAATGAAGAAAATAATGAATTCCTTATAATTACGAATAAAACCAAAGGCACAAAACGTGTTTTATAAAACCGCCTACATTATCCATTGGTTTGTACTACACAAAAATCAATGCTATTGAAGCATATAAGTTTATTGATAACTTTGTTGTTTGGAATGACCAATTAGGCCATTCCGGTTCAATAATAATGCGAAAAATAATTGAAATTTCATGTGGACATTTAATGAAGACCCAACATATTTTTCATAATAATTTTCATGTGTTGTTTCCTTAGAAGACAAGTTGTCATCCATCGTCTGCTAAAATATATTTTGAATCAAGTAGTTTTCTGAAACGTATAAAAGCAGATATTTGTGGGTCATACATCCCCATGTAGACCATTTAGGTATTTTATGGTTATAATCGATGCATCGGCTACATGGTCACATGTGTCCTTGTTATCAACTTTGGTGTTTGCGAGATTACTTATTCAATTGACTAAATTACAAGCACATTTACCATATACTCCTATTAAGACTATTTGTCTCGATAACGCTAGTGAATTTACTTTTCAAACTTTTGATTATTAGAATCAATTTTGAACATCCTATACACATGTTCATACACATATCGTTAGGGTAGACTTAATTGCCATATGAAATCCAAGCTCACTACTTAGAGACATGCTATATCACATGCAACTGCACTAATTCGCATCACATCAACAAGTTCTCATAAGTTTCCACCCCCCCCCCCTCCCCCGCCTCATCAAAATAGGTTCATGGTCAAGAACCAAATCTCTCTCATTTAAATAATTGCCAGACCATTACTTATGAAAACTGAAATCCAAGCTCCAAATCACTGTTTGGGACATGCTACATGGCATGCAAAGTTAACATAAGTTCCCCACCACAATTGGTTCATGGTCAAGAACCAAATATCTCTCATCTAAGAATTTTTTGATGTAGCGGTTTATGTCCCAATAGCTCCACCACAATGCTCAAAGATGGTGGGTCCTTATAGGAGGTCGGGAATATATGTTGGATTTGAATCCCCATCAATATTTAAATATCTTAGCCTACCACAAGGGATTTATTTACGGCTCTTTTAACTGATTGTCATTTTAAGTCACCTTTCCCAACTAAACAAGTTGGAAGTTCAAAAAATAATTCATTTACAAAGTTTAGCAAATTAATTGTTTGCTGACAAAAAAAAAAAGTAACCAAGTCACATATTCGAGCGGTAAATGCTCCATTTAAGATTAATGTCCCGGAAGGACAAGATAAAATTGTTAATGAGTCTAAACCACGTTAGACGTGTGGAAGACCATTAGGTTCCAAAGATAAGAATCCTAAGGAAAGGAGTGTCAAATTGGGGAAACAATTTCCGCCTCCATAAGAGACTTAAGACATGATACTAAAAGATATACAGGTACTTGTACCTCAGTTATATCATATCTAAAATTAGGAATTACATGGAACCGAAATCATATCGACTTTAATGATGTTTTTCCATACAATGCGGCATTAGATGTTATGGATAATAATGAGGATCATGAACCAAAATCCATTAAAGAATGTAAACAAAGAAATAATTGGCCAAAATAGAAGTAAGCAATTGAAACAGAATTGAAATCTCTTGGAAAAATAGAAGTATTTTGACCTGATGTCCGTACATGTGGAGGTATAAAGCCAACGGAATATAAATGGGTCTTTGTGCAAAAGAGATATGAAAAAGGTGAAGGTGTAAGACATAAGGCACAATTAGTTGCGCAAGGATTCTCACAAAAGCCCGAAAATGATTATGAGAAATACTCTCTTCCCATGATGGATCAGTGGATGCAACTACTTTTAGATTTCTCTTAATCGGGCAAAAAGATAAGGATTTGGCTTATGCTTGTATAGCCCAATAGATAATGACATTTATATGATGCTCCCAAGCACCAAAATCTAGTTCTCGACTTCTCAAGAACAATTTTGTATTAAATTAAATAAATCTCTTGAAGCAATCTGGGCATGTGGTAAAACTATCTAAGTGAGTATTTGTTAAAAGAAGGTTATAAGAACGATCCTATCAACCCATGTATTTATACTTCCTTTGTGTTTATTTTTATTATTGCACCATATAGGTTGGGCACAATAATTTTGGTAATGGGAAAAAGGAAGAGAGAGAGAGAGAGACAGAAAGATAAAAATACAAAATTGTCCATGCAATGTAAACATAAACTAAAGAATAAGTGTGAAAAAATAAGGGTATGTTGGGTATTTGCAGTGTGAACAGAGATTTTTTTGTCCTAAAATGAAAATGGTGCAATATTTGTGAAACTCCCTTAAAAGGCAAGTAATGCAATATTAAACGAACGGAAGGAGTATAAAGAATTGGACCAAGATTTGTTATAATTGCATTGTATGTTGATGATTTAAATATCATTGGAACTCCCGAAGAGATTTCGACGACAATTAATTGCTTAAAGAAAGAGTTTGAAATGAAAGACCTTGGAAAAACAATTTTGCTTTGGGTTACAAATAGAGCACCTAAAGGATATTCTATGGATAAAGCACATCCATTAAACATCCCCTTGGTTGTAAGATCACTTGATATAGAGAAGGATAATTTCCGACCACAAGAAAATGATGAGGAAAATCATAATCCTGAAGTGCCATACTTAAGTGCCATTGGAGCACTAATATACCCTGCAAGTCATAAATAACCCTACATATCATTTTCGGTTAATTTATTAGCAAAGTTTAGTTCATATTTAACTCGAAGGCATTTGAATGGGATTAGACATAAGAAGCACCAACAACTATATGAGGATATTGCAGCATGTATTCCTTAACTCGAGGAAGGATACATCAAAGGTGATAGAACAAAACAAGTCTCACCCAAATCCTTCTTCACTCGTGATCTTTAGAAGAATGGAGATATCAATGTTATGCACATTCGTACAAGTGAAAATTCTAAGGCACTTACAACTTCAATATTTAAGAAGAAAGTAGATCATAATGGATTGCATCATCTTAAAGATCTTCAGTGATATAACCATGAGGAGTAACGGAGTAAATGCGCGCTGCACTCTTTTTCTCTTAACCATGGCTTTTTTTCTAAGTTAAAATTTTAATGAGGCAGCATATATGCTCATTAACATCATATTATTTTAGATAATAGAACTACAAGGCAGAGTTGAAAAATATTATTTTAAATCTCCATTATTACTTTGTAACTCTCTCATCTTTTATGATTCCCTCTATAACTCCCTTATAACCCCTCTATGACTTTACTTCCCTTTGTAACTCCTGTATAAATGGACTCTTCACTATCCT